CTCGTCTGCACTTGGCTCCGGAGAATCCGTTCTGCTAGGCTTCTGATGGTTTTCTGGGTTATTTAGGCAGGTGTAGGTGGAGTCTAAGTGATCAGCAGGATGCGGTGATCCCAGTGTCCTACGCCGCCATCTTCCCCTACATTTATTCTTTAAAAGACTCTATAATTGTCCTTAAGACTTAACAGTCTTTAGATTAAACTATGTATTGTTTCAATGTCAAAAAAATGTAAAAGATCTCTAAAAACTGAAGCAGTAATTGCCAAAGCAAATGATCATTTAAAATCTGCCTATGCTATCCAGGCAATTTAGACATGGTAAATATACTCCTCCCTGTTCCCTCAACCATGCCAGACACAACTAATCCTTTTCTACATATTGCTCCAGGCAGTGACTAAAAACCAATGGAACTGACAGTCAAGAGCCCTCAAATAGTTCTTTTCTAATGTGAGATTTTAATGTTAATATACTTTAAAATGGAAAGAAACCAGCAGATGAAAGGAAAAACAAAACCACCCAACAGTGACAGTGATGATCACATCTAATTATTTGTAGGAAAAGGAAGAGAGCAAAAGTAGAAGTGTTTTCAATACTTATGATTAAGTACCCAAATATGCTGGGTTCACCCTTCAAAAACTCTAGGAAATATTTCTCTGATATATCAGCTCTTGTGTCAGTAAAAGAATTAAATGTTTCTGAACCCTCAAACTACATTACTTACAAAATACTTCAGTTTTAAAAGGATTGCTTTGGCTGCGGTGCTGAGAACAAGAGAAATAGGGAGACAGGAAGCAACCAAGGAAAGCAGTAAAGATGGCTTAGACCTTAGTGGTAACAGTTTTTACAAAATTTACCATTTACTGAGATGAAAATCACTGTGGAGAAGTAAGCTAAGAGTACATAGAGACGTTCCATTTTGGATGTGTCAAGTGTGAGACACATGATAAAGATTAGAGTGGTGATATCAAGGCAAGCAGTTGGATAAACATAAGCACAGATGTCAGTGGAGAAGTTTGGGTTGGACATATACATTAGAGTGGTAAACATATATAAATGATACTTAGAGTCACAAAACTGAATGATAAAGAGCATCAAAAAAAAAACTTCCAGCTGGGGTGCCTGGCAGGCTCAGTCAGTAGACCATGCAACTCCTGATCTCGGGGTTGTGAGTTCAAGCACCACGTTGAGTGCAGAAATTACTTAAAAACAAAATCTTAAAACACACACACACATACACGCACACCAAAAAACCAGCTCACATCATGCTCAATGGTAAAAGATTGAATGGTTTCCACTTAAGATCAGTGAAGAGGCAAAGAGTACCCTTTTTCACCGCTTCTAGTCAACATTATACTGGAGATCTTAGTGCCATAAGGCAGAAAAATAAACATACAAGGCATACAGACTGAAAAGGAAGAAATACAACTGTCTCTATTTACAGATGATAAATTTATGTTAATTTATAAAAATCTATAAAAAATCTATAAAATCTATTAGAACTAATAAGAGAGGTTAGCAAAGTTATGGGATAAAAGGTCAATATACATACTTAACTGCATTTCTATATATAGGCAATGAACAATTAGAAATTGAAATTTAAAAAACAATACCACTTAAAACAGCACCAAAAATTATTAAAGATTTAGGGATAAATTTGATGAGACCTATAAGAACTATGCTGTGAAAACTCCAAAATGATACTGAAAGAAATTAAAGGAAGACCTGTATAAACATATATACTATGTTCTTATATAAGAAGATGCAAAAGTGGGCGCCTGGGTGGCTCAGTTGGTTAAGTGTCCAACTTCGGCTCAGGTCATGATCTCACACAGTTTGTGTGTTCGAGCCCCGTGTCAGGCTCTGTGCTGACAGCTCAGAGCCTGGAGCCTGCTTCGTTTGGATTCTGGGTCTCCCTCTCTCAAAAATAAATAAACATTGAAGAAAAAAAAAAGAAGGTGCAAAAGTGTTGGGGAGCCTGGATGGCTCAGTTGGTTGGGTGTCCGACTTCGGCTCAGGTCACGAACTCACAGCTTGTGAGTTCAAGCCCCATATCAGGCTCTGTGTTGACAGCTCAGAGACTGGAACCTGTTTCAGATTTTGTGTCCCTCTCTCGCTCTGCCCCTCCCCTGCTCATGCTCTCTCTCTCTCTGTCTCAATAATAAAAACATTTAAAAAAAATTTTAGAAGGTGCAAAAATGTTAAGATGTCAGTGTTCCCCAAATCAATCAACAGATTCAACAGAATCCAAATCAAAATCTCAGCCAGTCTGTTTTAGTAGAAATTGACAAACTGATTCTAGACTGATATGGGAATGCAAAAAACCTAAAAAAGCCAAGAGAATTTTGAAAAAGAACAAGGTTGGAGGACTTAACACTTCATAATTTCACGATTATTATAAGGCTATAGTAATCAAGACACTACCATGTAAGGAAAAGGATAAGTGTGCTTACCATGTACCTTACCATGTAAGGAAAAGGATAAGGTCCAGAAATAGCTCAAAATGAATCACAGACCTAAATGTAAAACTAGAAACCATAGACCTGATCATAGGAATTAAAACTACAGACGTTTTAAAAGAGAACATAGGAGGACATCTTAGTGATTTCAGATTTGGCAAAGATTTCACAAATAGGAAACAGCCTAAATTATAAAATAAAAAAAAAAATCAAACTGAACTTAATCAAAACTTAAAACTTTGTTCTTCAAAACACATTGTTAGGAAAATCACAGACTAGAAGAAGATATTAACATCGCAAAGGACTTACACCTAAAATATATAAAAAATTCTTACAACTCAAGATAAGAAAAAAAAAACAGTAAAAATGAACAAAAGATCTGAATAAACACTTCAAAGATGAAAGTTATATGGATGACAAAAAAAATCAATGAAAAGCTTATTATTACGAAAATACAAATAAAAATTACCATGAGATATTATTTCATACCTATTAGAATGGCTCAAATTTTAAAAGACTGACCATATCAAGTACTGGAAAGGATGTGGAGGAACTGGAACTCACTCTCATACACATTCCACTGGGAATGTAAAATGGTACAACTACTTTGAAAAAAAAAAACAGTTTTGGCAGTTTCTTTAAATTTTTTTTTCAACGTTTGTTTATTTATTTATTTATTTATTTATTTATTTATTTATGTACTTATTTATTTATTTATTTTGGGGGGGGACAGAGCATGAACGGGGGAGGGGCAGAGAGAGAGGGAGACAGAATCGGAAACAGGCTCCAGGCTCTGAGCCATCAGCCCAGAGCCCGACGCGGGGCTCGAACTCCCGGACCGCGAGATCGTGACCTGGCTGAAGTCGGACGCTTAACCGACTGCGCCACTCAGGCGCCCCTTGGCAGTTTCTTATAAAGTTAAACATACACCAATTATATCACTTAGCCATTCTATTCCTAGGCATTTACTCATAAGAAATGAAAACGTATATCCACACAAAGACATATATGTTTACAAAAGCTTTATATGTAGCAGCTAAAATCTAGAAACAATGAAAATGCCCACTAACAGGGAAATGAACAAAAAAAAAGTATATAAAAAATACTGGTTGGGGTGCCTGGGTGGCACAGTCGGTTAAGCGTCTGATGCTTGACCTCAGCTGGGGTCATGATCTCACGGTCTGCGAGTCTGAGCCCCATATCAGACTCTGCACTGATGGCATGGAGCCTGCTTGAGATTGTGTCTCTCTTTCTCTCTGCCCCTCCCCAGCTTGTGCTCTTTCAAGATAAATAAATAAACTTAAAAAAATGTTTTAAAAAATACCGTTATGCTACTTACTAGATGCTACTATGTAAGTTACATGATCTCTGGGCTTCTATTTTCTCATCTTCAGAAAAGAGAAAAATACCACCTACCCCACAGGCTGCTATTAGGCTCAAATAAGACAAAAATGATACAAACTGATGAAACAATAATAGAAACAACTACTAATTTCTACTACCCAGCAAGGAAACCAGCTTATTGTCACAAGAGTAAAGGCATAATGTTTTGATATTTTCTGCTTCCAAACAAGCGGTTCAAATGTCACAAAGGGAAGGCTATGCACTTTAACAAGTTAGTTTGTTATTGTTAAGTATAGTTAACTTTGTCATGTACCATTTTAAGCCTACTTTAGATAAGGATAATCCCCTCCTCATTTAAAAAAGTTAAGGATCTCAGGAAAAGTAGCAAAATTATAAAATAAAACTTGCTTACTTTAATTATGAGGAAAAGAAATATTAATGTTAAAAGTAAATGGAACTTGAAGCAGACTACAAGAAAAAGACAGTATCAGTGAATTCTGTGAATTAACATAAAAAATGTCACTAACCAGACATTATTGTGCCTGCATTATTTTAAAGGGACAATATCAACATATAAGTATTCTCTAAACTGAAATACCTTCCAGTTCTTGTTGAATACATGCAAAATTAATACGTATACATATGTATGTATACATACTCAAATATTTTTATTTTTAAATAAACTGCCTCAAAAATTTTCTCCAAGAAATACCCAAAAAGTAATTTGAATAGACTGTCCTGCCAGAGAAAAAGCTATAATGTTGTTAAAAGGTGCACTAGAATATTTTGTGTTCTGGACAATAAATAGGTTTAATAACCATAGAAAAAATAAATAGCTATATAAGATTATCAAATATTTCCCTTTAATTAAGGATTCTTATATAGTGAAACAAATCTCAATGTTTTTTACCAGCCAGAAGAAACATCACTTGACAGTGTCCTTTTCATATTACCAGAAATTATGCCTAAAAGCATCATGCATATGTAAATGCAATCTTTTACCTTCAACATCATCTGAAAAGGTAGACAAAAATAAATAAAAAGTGGGTGGTGAAGAAAACAGTTTCTATGTAGCAGTATCCACAATAAAATAAATAAGAGCTTAAAAATGTCAAATGAGCAATATAATCCCTTGGAAAGAGAGACTCATTCACTTTATTAGATATCTGAGATAGCCTAAAAGAGATATAGCATATGCTATATATTGAGGATTATGAGACAGATTTATCAATTAAGGATTCTAAACTATCCCCAAAATAAAGAACTCTAAAATGGAGTTCGTTATGTTAGCTAAGAATCACCTTTTGATGAAGCAGTAGAAAGTATCAATAATAAAGCTAAAGGGCATATTTCCCAATCCAGATTTTTAATTGGCCCTTTCAGGATAAGTTAATTTCCAGAACAAAGTTTAAGTTCCTATTTTAATCTTCCCTAGAAAAAGTGATTCTACTACTGTTTCTCTGAAGAACTGTTTATGTTGTTTTATTCAAAGAATCATTTTTGGATGCTGAATTAAAAATGAGCCCAAACACACATAGACAAACAAAAACTGACTCTAAACATGATTATATTATAAATTTATAAGAAAGAAAAACTACCTAACTAAAAATATTGCTGTACATGATTTTTTAAAACAGAAAAATTATCTGCTGTAAACTACAAAAAGAGCTAAATTTCTAATCTGAAACTAAGAGAACAACAAAAAAAGAAAATGTCTTTTATCATAATGTGTTCTAACAAGTGTATTGTACCTAATTTTCTCATCTGAGAAATAAATAGGAAAATAAGTATCTTTTTCTTCAAAGTGTGTTCTTATGTGTATTGTATTTAAGTGTTGTCCTGTGACTGACAGCCTCTTATTCCATGGGTACCAAATCATGTTTTCTAAAGATTTTTTCACCCCTGACAAATTAACAAAGTGAAGTTTTAAGCTAGATATCACAGAGGAATAAAAATTTAAGAAAAAGAGCATTTAATTCCAAGAAATTGTGACCATTCAACACAACCCAATCTCAAATGTTTCTAGTACTGGTATTCTGTGAAGTTAATATCTATATATATTTCCACTCTGTTATTATCATAATAAAATATGTACAAACTTATAATTATCTACATTTCTTTATCATTTGTCTACAGAATTTCAAGAGATCCTATAATTTTAATCTAAATTAGACTTCTAAAATGCACCAATATGTCCACCCTTCTGGCTGTCTAGAATAATGAAACACCGACTATCCTCCTGCAACAGGTAATCTGATGTGAAGAATGCATTCTTCAACAGCACAGTCACATATTACTCAGTACACATTTTTTACAATACACAGAACAAAATGTATATGGACTTCTCTTTAAGTATTTTGCATACTGACAACAAAATGAAGTAAAATGACAGACTACCTTATTTTAAGTATGCAAGTAATTTGAAACAAAAGAAAAAGGAAAGATGTACCAAAAAAGTGTGTGAGTTTTGAAATGATTCGTATCATTTCACACCAGACAGACAATATAAAGGAAATTCTAAATTCAGTAAGATGTTGCTCCTTATAAATTAACAAAAGTCCCATGTTAAAAGGAAAAACTCTGTAATTTCATATTGTTCACCAGATAATAACATATAAATGAAATAGCTTTTTTCAATAGCCAAAAATGATGTTTAATCCAGAAACTGCTAATATTCATACTACTTAACTAAAACAAATACAAAAGGAGGGCAAAATTTATAAAAAAGAAGAATCCAATTTCATCTCCAAATAACATACAAAGTAATCATTTTAAAGACACTTTTCTGGGACTAAGCTTATGTCTTTCCTTTATTAATTAAAAAAGAAAACAAACCCTTATAAATAAATTTATAAATTCACCTTCAAAACCAGAAAAATTGGCACAACTCCAGGATATATAGCATATGTTATTTTATGTAGAGAAAACACAATAAAAGAAACTTACCTACTTCTTCTTCTTCATCATTAGATATTATATTATACAGTGTGTCCAAAGCATAACCTATTATTTCAGAATCCGAACTGGAAAAAAGAAATTATTACACTTATACACTGCTAAAGTGTAAACTGTTAATGATCATTTTTAGACAGTTATTTAGCAAGACTGTGTAAAACATTAATCTAAAACTACCCTAAGAGGGGTGCCTGGGTGGCTCAGTTGGTTAAGCATCCTACTCTTGGTTTCAGCTCAGGTCATGATCTGACAATCATGAGGCTGAGCCCTGTGTCAGCCCTGGATGGTGTGGACTGCTTGGGGTTCTCTCTCTCTCCCTCTCTCTCTGTCCCTACCGCCATCATACTCGCTCTCTCTCAAAATAAATAAATAACAAAAAAGTAAAATTAAAAAAGCTACCCTAAGAAAATATCAGAGTGCAAGCGTAAAGAATGTATAAAGGTTTATTTGTAATAGTGGAAGACAGAAGCAACCTAAATGTATAATAATAAAAAATAGACACATACAGCAGCAATGAAAGTATTTTTAAAGCAAAAAAAGTATTTTTATTTTTTTTTAATTTTTTTTAACATTTATTTATTTTTGAGACAGAGAGAGACAGAGCATGAACGGGGGAGGGTCAGAGAGAGAGGGAGACACAGAATCTGAAACAGGCTCCAGGTTCTGAGCTGTCAGCACAGAGCCCGATGCGGGGCTCGAACTCACGGACCACGAGATCATGACCTGAGCCGAAGTCAGACGCTCAACCGACTGAGCCACCCAGGTGCCCCAAAAAAAGTATTTTTAAAGAATGTTTAATGACATGGCAATTAAAACACCCTTGATAGGGGTGCCTGTGTGGTTCAGTCGGTTAAGCGTCTGACTCTTGATTTCTGCTCAGGTCATGATCTCACAGTGGGTGAATTTGAGCCCCACCTTGGGCTCCATGGTGACAGCTTAGAGCCAGCTTGGAATTCACACTCCTCTCTCTGGCCTTCCCCAACTTGCATGCATGCATACTAGAAAAATTAATACAAACCAGGTAATTTTATGGGTATGTGTTTATGTTTACATATATATATGTTTCATGATATATATATTTAATAGTGTGATCCTTAGTTGTACTACTAGAGTTTGTTTCACTGCTCTATACTTTATTACCTAAAAACAAGCACACACAAAAAAACAAAAGTCTTATGGTAAACATAATACTATTTATAAAATCAGGGAGTATAAGATTACAGTTGTTGATAGACAAATTTTGAAAACATGATGGACGATGATGGCATTTAGTGTGGAAAGCAAGAGTGAAATATAGGTCACAAAGATTCAATAAATATGAAGAAGTAATTACGAATGATAAATGAAAGCTAAGATGAGGGACAAAGGGGATCACAACCAGAGGATGTAAATTTCAAATGAAGTTTTAAAAATTATTATTTATAAAAAAATTATTATTCACCATTTTGCTTTTGAGAAATCTTGAGGAGCATCTTTTAAGAAAGTATTAAGGAACTGAGAACAGAAAGAAATTTCCTCAAGATAATAAAAGAGAATCTATGAAACTCCCAGATCATCATATGTAATGGTATAAAACTGAATGCTTTCAACCTAAGATCAGGAACAAGATCATGATGTTCCCTCTAGCCACCTCTATCCAACACTGAAATGGAAGTTCTAGCTAGAGCAATTGAGCAAGAAAAGGAAATGAAAGGTATACAGATTTGGAAAGGAAGATCACATGATCTTGTATACAATCTTAAGGAATCCACTAAAAAGTATCAGAACTATGAATGGATAAAGAAGATGCAGTATATACACACACAATGAATTTTACTCGGCAATCAAAAAGAATGAAATCTTGACCATTTGCAACAACGTGGATGCAACTACAGTGTATAATACTAAGCCAAATAAGTCAACCAGAGAAAGATAAGTGTCATATGACTTCACTCATTTGTGGATTTTAAGATACAAAACAGATGAACACAGGGAAAGGTAAGCAAAAATAATATAAAAACAGGGAGGCAGACAAACCATGAGATTCTTAAATACAGAGAACAAACTGAGTGAGGGTTGCTGGAGGGGACTTGGGTGGGAGGATGGACTAAATGGGTAAGGAGCATTAAGGAGGACACTTGCTGGGATGAGCACTGGGTGTTATACGTAGGGGATGAATCACTAAATTCTATTCCTGAAATCATTATTACACTATATGTTAACTAACTTGGATGTAAATTTAAAAAAAAAGTATCAGAACTAATAAATTCAGCAAAATTGAAGAATACAAGCTCAATATAAAAAAATCAATTTATAGAAATGGCATTTCTATATACCAGCAATGAACAATGAGTAAACATAATTAGAAATTAAGAAAACAATTCAGTTTAAGTAACAAAAAGAAGATTAAAATACTTTGGAATAAATTTTACTAAAATTGTACAAGAATTGTACACTGGAAACTATAACACATTATTGAAATAAATTACCCAAGACTCAAATACTTGAAAAGACATTCTGTGTTCATGGATAGAAAAGGAATATTATTAAGATGGTAATATATGCCAACTTGATTTATAGATTCACACAATCACTATAAAAATGCTAACTGCCATCTTTGCAGAAATGGACAAGCTGATCATAAAATCTGTATGGGAATGTACAGGATCCAGAATATATCTAAACCTATCTTCAAAAAGAAGAGCAAAGTGGAAAAACTCATATTTCCTGATTTTAATACATATCACAAAATGGCAGTAAATAAGACTGTGGTGCTGGCATAAAAGATAGACTATAGATCAACAGAATAAAGAGTCTAGAAATAAAGCCTAACATTCATTTTAACTGATTTTTGGCAAGAATGAAAAGAGCATTCAATGGGAAAAGAACAATTTCTTCAACAATTTGTGCTAAGACAGCTAAGTATTCACATGCAAAAGAATGAAGCTGGACCCCTACTTCATACGATACACAAAAATCAGCTCAAAAGGGATCAAAGACCTAAATGTAAGAGCTAAAGTTATAAAACCCTTAGAAGAATCATAGGTATAAATCCTTAAAACTTTGGATTAGGCAATGGTTACTTAGATATGACACCAAAAGCATAAGCAAGGAAAGACAAAACAGATAAATTGGATTTTGTCAAAATTAAAAACGTCTGTGCTTCAAAGGACACTATCAAGAAAGTAAAGGGGTACCTGGGTGGCTCAGTCAGTTAAGTGTCTGACTTCAGCTCAGGTCATGATCTCACAGTTTGTGGGTTCGAGGCCCACGTTGGGCTCTGGGCTGACAGCTCAGAGCCTGGAGCCTGCTTCAGATTGTGTCTCCCTCTCTCTCTGCCCCTCCCCTTCTCGTACTCTATCTCTGTCACTCTCTCTCTCAAAAATAAACATTAAAAAATAAAAATAAATAAAAAAAAAAAAGAGTAAAAAGACAACCCAAAGAATGTGAGAAAGTATATCCAAATCAAGTATCTGATAAGGGACTTATAACCAGAATATATATACAATCCAACAATAAAAAGACAAGTAACCCAATTAAAAATAGGCAAAGATTTGAATACACATTTCTCCAAAAAAAAGCATTTAAATGGTCAATAAGCACATGAAAAGATGTTCAAAATAATTAGTCATTAAGGAAATGCAAATCAAAACCAAAATGAGATACCAAGTTGCACTCACAAGAATGGCTGTTAAGAAGGGAAAAAAAAAAAGGATAACAACAAATTTGTTGGTGAGGAACAACTAAACCTTCATGTACTGCTGGTGGAAATATAGAAGAGTTTGGCAATTCCTCAGAGTTAACCACATGCCCTGACATTTGCATGCTTATGTATAAAACACACGTTCACACAAAATCTAGCAAATAAAAATTCACAGCAGTATTATTCATAACAGCTAATAAATGAAAATAGCCCAAACATCCATCAACTGACAAACTGGGTGAACAAAATGAGATATATCTCATGGACTAGTATGCAGCTGTAAAAAGGGAATAAAATACTAATATATGTTACAACATGAATGATCCTTGAAATACGCTAAGTGAAAGAAGTCAGACACGAAAGTAACATATTGTATGATTCCATTTATATGAAATGTCCCAAACAGTCAAATCTATAGACACAGAAAGTAGATTAGTGGCCAGGCACTGGGGAGAGGAGGGTATGGGGAATGATGGCTAATGGATACAGGATTTCTTCTGATGTGATGAAAATGTTCTGGATTTTGAGGTGCCTGGATGGCTGAGTCAGTGGAACGTGCAATTCTTATCTCGGGTTGTGAGTTCGAGCTTCATGTTGGGTGTAGTGATTACTTAAAAGTAAAATCTTTACCAAAAAAAAAAAGAAAATGTTATGGATTTAGAGAGTGGTGATGGTCACACAACTCTGTGAATATACTAAACCCACTGAAATGTATACTTCAAAAAGGTGAACTTTATGGTAAAAAAATTGTATCTCAATTTTTAAAATTACTATCTAGGCATCATGGTTTGGAAACAGTGAGAAATTAGAAAACTTTCAGGATCTGAGTGTAGGACTTTGGAGAATGAGCAGTCTCTCCTCAATATGGTTGTTAAGAGAAGCAGAACCACAGACAGATGCAGAGTTTCAAGCCACATCAAGAAAGGGAACAGAGCTCTCTGTGATGCAGCCAAGGATGAAGAGGATTCAGGGGAAGAATTTTCAGAGTGTTAGTTGGAAAGGCAGGAGAAGAAGCATAAAATAGTAATGAAGAGGGATGCATGGCTGCTTCAGTCCATAGAGCATGCATGACTCATTTGATCTCAAGGGTTGCGAGTTCAAGCCCCAAGTTGGGTGTAGAGTTTACTTAAAAAAACAAATGAACAAACCCCACAAAAAACAACAGTAATGAAGATGAGATGTGGAAAGAGATGCCCTTTTCTTTCCATGAAGTTAAAAAAAATAACCCAAGGGGCGCCTGGGTGGCTCAGTCAGTTGAGCATCCAACTTCCACTCAGGTCATGATCTCGCAGCTTGTGAGTTCGAGCCCCATGTCGGGCTCTGTGCTGATGGCTCGGAGCCTGGGGCCTGCTTTGGATTCTGTGTCTCCCCTTCTCTCTGGCCCTTCCATGTTCATGCTCTGTCTCTCTCTGTTTCTCAATAATAAATAAAATGTTTAAAAAAAAATAAAATAACCCAAAACACTTTGGAAACAGAAGGCAATTGACAGGTATCAGAGGCAAATGGAAAGGGAATTTATTTTGACACAGAAAGGGAGTGAAACACAAGAAGGCTCATAGAAATTTAGCTTTGTTTCTGTCTAAAAGGCAGAATAAAACAAGTAATCTCTAACATGATACAATTATGAGTTCATACATTCACAGGCTAATGGTACACCCTTCTTCTAAGCATGGTGCCTGGCACATAGTAAATGTGCAGTAAATGTTTTAAAAACTCAACTTCTTAACCTTTATATCAAGAATTTCTAATATCTACACATTTATTTTCTGCTGTGTGCTTAAAATGACAATAAAAGCCACTTTACATAAGAGGTAACATTCTATTTTCCATACTGAGATGTTAGTCATTCATTACTAACTTTGTAAGATCAATGAGAAAATGTGCACATGGAATAAAGACACGTGGAATAATATAAAAGAAAAATTACAGATTGTATGTATGTGTAGTCATCACACTAAAGTTTTTTTGATCTAGGCTCCATTTTCTCTAACTTGGAATATTATTTAAAGCAGGTAACTAACTTTAGATTACTTTATTTATAGTTTTCCACTAACGCTATAACAAGTTACCACAAACTTAAGCAATACAAATATATCACCTTACTGTTCAGAAGTCTGAAATGGGTCTCAATGGGCCAAAATCAAGGTCTCAGCAGGGCTGCCTTCCCTTCTATAGGCTGTAAGGGAAAATCTGTTTCCATGCCTTTTGCAGTTCTAGAGGCCCAGTTCCTCTACCTTTGAAGCCAGCAACCACACATCAAGATCTTATCCTATCACCTCATTCTGACCTTCTCTTTTGCGTTCCTGTTCCACTTTTAAGAAACGTTGGGATTACACTGGGCCCACCAGGATAACCTAGGATAATCTCCCCATCTCAAAGTCCTTAATTTAATCACATCTGCAAAGTCCCTTCGGCCGTGTAAGGTAACATCCAGAGGTGGTGGTAATTAGGATGTGAACATCCTTAGGGGGTCTATTATTCTGTCTACTATAGTTACTCACTGTGCTGTTAATAAAACAGTCCAGGAACACCTGGGTGGTTCAGTCGGTTAAGTGTCCGACTCTTAATTCCAGCTCAGGTCTTGATCTCAGGGTGGTGAGTTCAAGCCCCACACTGGGTTCCACACTGGACGTGGAGCCTACTTAAGAACAAACAAACAAAAAAACAGTCCTGGGGTGCCTGGGTAGCTCGGCTGGTTAAGCATCCGACTCTTGGTTTCAGCTCAGGTCACGATCTCACAGTTTTGTGAGTTAATGCTCCACATTGGGCTTTGTGCTGGCAACATGGAGCTTGCTTGGGATTCTCTCTTTCCCCTCTTTCTGCCCCTATCCCGCTTGTGCTGTCTCTGTCTCTCTCAGAATAAAACTTAAAACAAACAAAAAAACAAAGGCCAGATAGTCCTGACATATCCAGTGTATTTATTCAAATGCATTAGAATTAGTTGGCTTTGAAAAGATAGCCAATGTGGGTTGTACCAACTGACAGGAGGAAAGAATCTAACTGGTATGAATAAGCAGCTAGGCATTGCTAAAATATAACTGAAATAAGAGGCTATGAGGTTAGACAGGCAATACCAAAACCTTCAAAAAGTTTATATGCTTTGCTTGTTTAAGAACTTAGATTAGGGGCGCCTGGGTGGCTCAGTTAAGTGTCCGACTTCGACTCAGGTCATGATCCCACGGTTCATGATTTTGAATTCTGTCAGTGCAGAGCTCGTTTCGGATCCTCTGTCCTCCCTCTCTCTGCACCTACCCAACTCATGCTTGCACTTGTGCGTGCTCTCTCTCTCTCTCTCTCTCTCTCAAAAATAAATAAATATTAAAAAAAAGAAAGAACTTAGACTTCACACTGCACTGAGCTGGTGAAATGCATGAAGTGAAAAAAGATTTATATATCAGATAGGTAATTCTTATAATGCACAGACTGAATGGAGGGACAAAAAGATCAGAGGCAAAGAATACAGTCTGGAGGTAGTAGTTGTTTAAAACTATGTCCAAAAATTCCTTGGTACAGATCCCTTCAAAAGATGGAACCTAATCTTCCTCCTCTTAAGTGTATGCTGTATTTATTAACTTGCTTCTAACAAACAGAGAGCGGTAGAATTGATGGTATGCAACTTCTGAGACTAGGTCCCAAAAGGCATTTTAGCTTTCTCTTCGCTTTCTCTCTAAAAGTGCTTGTTCTGGGAGAAGCCAGTTACCATATCATAAAAATGCTCAAGCAGTCCTATAGAGAGAGCAACATGGTGAGGTAGTGAAGCCTCCTGCCATCAGCAAAGTAAGTGAGCCATTTTGGAATCACATCTTCCCAATCAAGCCTTCAGATGACTACCATCCTGGCTGACATCTTGGCTGCAACCTCATGAGAGACCCTGAGCCAGAACCACTTAACTAAGACACTTCTGAATTTCTCATCCACAGAAAGTGTGAGATAATAAATATTTATTATTTTGAGCCACTAAGTTTTGAGGTAATTTGTTATACAGCAAAAGTAATAATAATAATAAAGATAATTAATACAAGGGTGCCTGGGTGGCTTAGTCAGTTGAGCATCCGGACTCTTGATTTTGGCTCAGGTCATGACCTCCCAGTTTGTGAGACTGAGCCCCACGTCAGGCTCTGTGCTCACAGTGCGGAGCCTACTTGAGATTCTCTTTCTCCCAATCTCTCTGCCCCTCCCTTGCCCACACTCTGTCTCTCAAAATAAATAAACATTAAAAACAAAAATACACACACACACACACACACACACACACACACACACACACACACACAGGCTCTGAAAATTGATTCGTTGATTGATACTGAGCTAGAACTAAAAATCAACAAAGGAAATAGAAAGAAATGTATGGATTTTGGTCTGCAGGAGCATAATGGGTTAAGGAGAGGGATGAGTTCAGCATGAATCCTACAGTTTCTTGCTTGAATGGAACAGTATTACCACCTAGGTTGACCTGGCTCAAAGGCAGTTGAAGGAGATGGTGGAAGGCCACAATTAGGAGCAGATAAATTAACTCTTGAACATTCTGAACTTGAGATATTGATGAGAGATCTTGATATGGTAGAAATGTACATTAAGCAGTTAAAGGTTGTAACATATATTTAACTAGATATAAGATTTTTGAAAGCTATTCATGCATAGTTGTTAATTAAAACCAAAGATGCAAATAAAATCTCTTAAAGAGAAATTGGAAGTGATAAAAATAGGCTAGTGATCTTTCTCTTACGACATGCTCAGATTTAACACTTCACTCTATTAGTCGAGTTTCTTTCTGCATAAAGACAAGTCTAGATAAGTGATATACCATAATATGTATTTTATGTTATAGAACAGTATATTACAGTATATCTAATTGAATATCAAAACATCCAACTGACCAATTCAAACCACAAATCTTCAGCTTTTAATGAGAAGTCATGTCATTCCATTTTCACATAATGGAAAGATATCAACCCCTGAGATTCTATCTGTCTTAATGGTTAGCACAGTGGTTTGCACCTAGTATCCAATTAGTATTTATTGAAACAACTGAAAATAAAAACATAATAACCTTAATAAGTTAATCATTTCATTTCTAAAATAGTGACTCTAAAACAAATGAATTAAAATTGCAAGAAAATTAGGGAGAAAAATCATTGAAAACAGACTTACCGATCTGTTTGTAAAACATGGATAAGATGTTCCATAGCTTGTATACCTACTTCCAAGCGGTATTTCTGCACAAAAGAAAAATGTTGTTAAAGTAACTAATATCCAATTTAATAAAATTAGTAGGTGATAAAGCATTACAAACCTTAGATAATGATTTGAGAGCACGAACAGCATTTCTTCGGTCATCCAGCAAAGTAGATGAAGCAACTCTGTCACAAAGCTTTTGAATCTGTCATTAAAAAATGAAATAGCATAAACAGAACTTAAAAAAGCAAAAAAGAAACATGAAGTTCCCCCCTAAATTTATACCATCTACTTTCGAAAACAAAAATCAACAAATGGGATGTCACGGGAATTAGGTGCTTTTATAATCTCATTACAGACAAACATTTCTCACAGAGACTTGAAAAACAGAAGTGGTGAAAGAAAAGTTAAATGAAATAAGTCATATAAGTTGACGAATTAAGAGAAATCATTAGTATAATCAGAATTTTGTAAACATGCAGCTTACAACTGTTTGAGCCAAGAGGAAAGCAGGGTTATGGTAGAAGACGGGAACTTATTTAAAAATTTTTTTGAAATAATAATTGTTTATAACTTCACCCTAATATTTCCACTAAGTATTTGAAGAAGAAAAGATGGAATTATATACCAAAAATATTAAGTTTTTGGGTGCCTGGCTGGCTCAGTCAGAAGAGAATGCAACTGTTCATCTCAGGGTCAGGAGTTTGAGCCCCACATTGGGTGTAGAGATTACTTAAATAAATAAATAAAAACTTAAAATTTTAAGTTTTAACTGTGCCTCAAAATCTATAGAGATGAAATGTTTCTATTATAAAAATTTTTAATAAATTTGCAGGTATTAAAGTTCAAGTTGCATTTTAAAATAAACCTTCCAGGGGTAGCCAGGGTGGTTCAGCTGGTTAAGCATCCAACTCTTGATTTCGGCTTGGGTCATGATCTTACGGTTCTTGATATCACTAAGACTGCAGAGCCTGCTTGGGATTCTCTCTCTCCCTCTCTCTCTGCCCCTCCCCTGCTTGTGCACTCTTCTCAAAATAAATAAACTAAACTAAACTAAAATAAAACAAAACCTTTGGGTATTTAATTTACAATGGGAAAAAAATTGGAGACAGCTGTCCCTCAAGAGAAGAAAAACTAGGGGCGCCTGGGTGGCTCAGTCAGTTGAGCATCTGACTTCCACTCATGTCATGATCTCGCAGTTCATGAGTTCGAGCCCCGTGTCGGGCTCTGTGCTGACAGCTCAGAGAGCCTGCAGCCTGCTTCAGATTCTGTGTCTCCCTCTCTCTCTGCCCCTTCCCTTGCTCATGTTCTGTCTCTCTCTGTCTCAAAAATAAATATAACATTAAAAAAAATTTTTTTTAAAAGAAGAAAATAAATTATACATTCTTTGGTAGAATATTATGCAGCTACTCAAAACAATTAACTGTACTGATATGAAAATACAATGATTTAATAAACAGTGGGGAAAAAAGAAAAGCAAGTTGTAAAACTACATGTAAATTATGAGCCCACTGAAGCAAAAGTACTAAACTGTGCATGTAAAATTGCATTAAAAAAAATTGGAGGGGCGCCTGGGTGGCTCAGTCGGTTAAGCGGCCGACTTCGGCTCAGGTCACGATCTCACACTCCGTGAGTTCCAGCCCCGCGTCGGGCTCTGTGCTGACCGCTCAGAGCCTGGAGCCTGTTTCAGATTCTGTGTCTCCCTCTCTCTGACCCTCCCCCATTCATGCTCTGTCTCTCTCTGTCTCAAAAATAAATAAACGTTAAAAAAAAAAAATTAAAAAAAAAATTGGAAACTTAAAACTATAAAACTTCTAGAAGAGAGCATAAGAGAAAATCCTAGTAGCCTTTAATAAGGCAAAAACTTCTCATACATACTAAGAGCACAATCCATAAAGAAAACCTAAATAAACTGGACCTCATCACTTCTGTTCTTCAAAAGACACTCTCAAGAGAATGAAAAAAATAAACCACCAACTGGATGAAAATATTTGAAAATATCTGACAACGAATAGTTCTTAAAACCATGATACTTGCCTCCTGTTAAGTTGTAACAGTTACTATTTTAATGACTGTTACTAAGATTCTATAAATATTATGGCATATCACTCACACTTTTGTATCCTATGTATCTGAATTAGTGGTGTTTAAATACATACACTGTTTTCCAAATTATGTTCTGCAGACTTCTAGTGTCCCAGAAGATATTAATAGATTTCTTATGATCGCAGAACCAGCAGGAAACACAAGGTTATATAAAATTAAATAGGTTTCTGCACTGCAGGATTTCTAAAAGTCTTTACTATGCTGATTTGCATTTCTTCATACTGCAGACAGAGTATGATAACCAAGCATAGCCTTACTCTTTGATTTTATTCATTCTAACTACTCACATTTAAAAATTATTTCTACCTTAAACTATATTTACCTTTGTAATAATTACATTGACTTTCCAAAACATAAATAATACAACTTTCTCTTCATTAAATAAATACAACTTTCTCTTTATTAAATAACTGATTGACTTTTTCTACCACAATTTGTTTTTTACCATTAGAAAAACTACATAACTATCTCTTGAAAACATGAAGCTTGCTACTTTCAGCTTAAAGAATTTCTTAGTCCAAAAATAGTTTTCCTAAGTATGACTATAATTTCCTTTACTTGGGTCTTGTACATCTTTTGTTAATTTTTTCTAGGTCATTTATAACTGATACTAGGAATTGAAATCATTTATAGGCATTTTCTGCTTTTTACGAGCCCTAGACCTTAGCACCAGTCCTAGACCTCGGATTCCCAACTCTCATGGAGTACTGAGTTCTAGTACCATGCAGGGCTTGAACTCGAGCTTCAGCCTCAGAATCCTCTATAGTTAGTATATAGAAAGCCCTGTGTCAAAATATGACCTTCTGTGTCTAGAAACTCTTCAATTATTTGTTGAATGTGAACACTTGAAGGCTACTTGATACTGAAGGAGAAACTCAGCTTTAGGAATTTTGGAGATGATCATAATCCTAGAGTTTGGGGGTTTGCTTTGTTTTTATTTTCCGTCTTTTATTTTGTGCTCTAAATATGCTAATATTTGAGTGTTGTCAATTTGTTTTTACAAAGCTTTGAGATATACACAAAGATAATCTCAGTTGTTATGAAGATAAATACAACCTAAAATAGCAATGAGGTTATTTTTACCTATCAGACTCACTAAGATTAAAATTAAAATAATAGTACCAAATATTCTATGATATCATTTCTATAAAATAAAAAAACAAGTAACATTAATCTGTGTTAGCAGAAGTCAGGATAGTGGTTACTCATGGAGAGCGACAGTGACCGGGAATACAAAGGGGACTTTTTGGGTCTTGATAATGTTCTGTTCCTTGATCTGGGTGCTGGTTACATAGGTGTGTTCAGGTTGTGAGGTTTACATATTTGACATGCATACTTTTCTACATACTTTAATACATTTAATAAAATGATTTTTAATTATTTTTAAAATATTTTATTTTTAAGCAATCTCCACACCCAACATGGGGTTCGAACTCACAACCCTGAGATCAAGAGTTGCACACTCTACCAAGTTCGCCAAGCACCCCAATAAATTTTTTAAAATAGAAATATCTATGGAGGTTCCTCAGAAAATTAAAAATAGACCTACCCTATGACCCAGCAATAGCACTGCTAGGAATTTATCCAAGGGATACAGGAGTACTGATGCATAGGGGCACTTGCACCCCAATGTTTATAGCAGCACTTTCAACAATAGCCAAATTATGGAAAGAGCCTAAATGTCCATCAACTGATGAATGGATAAAGAAATTGTGGTTTATATACACAATGGAATACTACGTGGCAATGAGAAAAAATGAAATATGGCCTTTTGTAGCAACGTGGATGGAACTGGAGAGT